TGAAATATAGTTAGGTATTTCGACTTTGGCTTGAAAATACTTGCCTCTTTCCATTAAATATACCCTTCAACTGCAGGACTACGCCGTATACCAGGGGGTATAAAAACGTTAACAATGCAAAATTGAAAAGTAAATGTGAAAATCGTGTTTTAAATGCCTTCAACGTCAAACTGGCTCTCTTTCTCTCTCTCTCTCTCTCTCTCTTTCTGTTTGGCTTTTCTCTGGTGGAAAACACTTTTCGACACTTTGGCATTTATCAAGCGACTGCAGAAGGCTGACAAAACAATTTAAAATTGTTTTGCCAAGAGCCCGAAACTAATTGAAATGTTTGGCTAGGTCAAACGTATAGTACGAGTAACATACGAGTGTGTCGAGACGAGTGTCCTTAACAGATGGCCTCAACAGAAGGTAATTCAAGTACGGAATGGCTAAGAGGTTCTTAAATTTCTTAAATTTACCAAAAGGAACGTTTTGCTCTCATCTGTTAAATTAATTTTCACCACTTATGCGCTAGATTAACCAGCGCCAAAACGCCAAGACCGACCCGACCCGACCCCCAGCTAGTGCTCTTTCGTTGCACTCATTAGGAGACGCACGACCGCATGCCAGATGGCAGCAATTTCCACTTTGTCTTTGAGGCTACAGTGAGTCCTCGATAGAGTGTGCCAACAGAAGAAGAGGTTCCACATTCAATCCATTCCACATCGATTCCATGCGAATTTCCACACGAAATACTTTGAATATTTCTCCAAAGTGCACTCTTGCGGCCATTCACTGTAGTGCTCCATAGCCGTCCTCGCTGCCTTGTCATTTGCTGCTCTCATGAGCGTGTTAAAATTGCGTTCAAATGCAAATGTCGCGGACCCATGACCGAGCCAGAGGAAACCCAAGTCCTTCCATTACCCACAGTCGTATCCTTAACCGACACTCCCCTTTAGCCGGGCTGCAAATGGAAAGGCTTATAAATTATGCAAGGTGTTCTTTTTTGTGGGTTGCACTGTGGCATGGGGCAGGGGAGGACAGCCGGCGGACAGCGAACACAGCGGACACTGTCAGCCCGCTCATCCTTCATTCGGGGGCCTGCATTTCGGCCCGGCTATAACGGGGGGGGGCGTGGCTGGGAGAGTGGGAGACCTCCCTCTGTTGATTCTACTACTCGTCGTTGAGCTGTTGTTCTCCTTAATAGCTCCCAGCATTGACTTTTGTTTGTGTTTGTGGCTTGTCACCCAAAACACTGCTCGAGGAATACGAATACTACAAGAAGAGTTGTCCAGAGATTTGCATGACAAAGCAAGGGATCCTTCGGCCGGGATTGGGATTGCCCCAGAGGCGTTGGATATTTAGTGGTTAAAGAAAACATTTAAAGAAAGGTTCTTCATATACAAATCCCTACTTATTACAGCATTAAATATATAATGTATCTTTAGTCATCTCGTATGCGACCGCTCCTCCTCCGGCCACATCTCTGCCCCATTGACTTTCTGCATTTCAATTAATGCTAATGTCCAAAGGCATCGTCTGCTCCTCCGTCGTCAGGAGGCAGCTGCACTGCGCCTAAATGTATGCAATGGCTGCGACAATTAGCGTGATTTTCAACGGTTGATAGAACTTTGGGGAGCTACAGAATGTGGGGATCGTGCTGCAGCGAGAGGAGAATAAGGGACAAGACGTGCAGCCGTGAGGGGTAGACGGGGAGGGAAATCGTGCCGCAGGGAAATGCAAATCAAGCAGAAATGCCGCACAGCAAACGACACAAAAACAAATCGCCAACTGCAGCCGCCACCACCGCCGACTGCCAGGCCGCATTTTGTATTCCAGTTGCAACGAGAGCGAGAAGCCGAAGCAGAAGCAGCAGCAACAGCAACAGCAACAGAAACAATTCCTTCGAATTCAATTTGTCTCCAGGGTGCAGCGAGGGGCAGGAATCAGGAAGAGGCAGCTAGGGGCACGGGACAGGGATCAGTTTGGGGCAGGCGGAAGCGGAACTGATGGAAGGGAAACAAGGAACTGCCGTTGACAAGTCGCTGGGGCTGTGGCACGTAAAAAGGCCCCCGGACGCGGTTCCATTGTCTTGGCCTGACACGTGTGCAACATGCAGCATTGGACGGACGGGCAGCTTTTGTAGCTGCCACGAATGGGCATATGTGTGGCAGGGTACAGCGAGGGTATATTGGCCAGAAAAACCAAAGGAAAGTATAGGAAAGGGGTATCCTTTTGTCTTCCCTTTTATTCAATGCCTTCCCGCACCTGTCAGTGTCGCTTACAGCGGGCCAAAAAAAAATATAAACTGATAAAAAAGAAGACTCCTGCCCTTTCCAGGTGGCAGTTTCAGCAACTTTTTCATGGCTCCAACTTTTATGCGCCCGATTTGACAAGTCAAGATTGTTGTCCTTCTCTGCTGCTGCCGCTGCTGTCTTTCGAAGTTGGGTTGTTCCTGCCGCATGCCTCTTGTTACGGCACCCACGTTCCACTTTACTCTTACAACTCTTGCCGCACACTGCATGTGGTTACAGAGGGACACCCCAGAGACCCTTCAAAATAGTTGGAGACCTCTTCCTAACTCTCTCTCTCTCTCTGTCTCTCTAGTGCAGTGCTTGTGTGTGCCAGGACATGGACAGAGGCGTGGTTCAAGAGCAGATGGGGATGCAGTGCGGCTAAACAGTTGAAGAAACTTTTGAGGGGAGAAGATACAACAGGAACTCGAGGAGTTAGATGATGATTCTATCAGGAGAAACAGGGAATACAGCAAAAGATACCCCTTCTAACATTACTTTTGCTTACCTCCGCTCCTATATCCCAATGCCTTGCAGGCTCTGCGAGTGTGCCCCTCTCCGGCACTCTCCCACAGCTCCTATGTGCCGGCCCCTACTTGATGCACGATGTGGGTGAGTGTGTGTGTGTGTGTGTAATGAGTGTGAAAAGTTCATTAAAGTTGCACGTGCGAAATTATATGAAATTTTAAGTGCTTGACTGTTGGCTGCGCGTCAGGAGCATAGCCCTAGCTTCCTGCTAGAGCGAACGGCGACTGGAGCGACAGGATGCGGAAGTGAAAATTATTTTCCCCAGACATTTTGCGCCGTTGTTTACGCTTAATTGCAGTCGCCGTTGCAATCATTATTTTCTCTTCCCAAATGATTTATTATTTAATTGAAAAATTAGTGCTTCCTTCCGTGGGGATACGTTTCCAGAGCACCGGGAATAGGGTAAGGAATTAGCCCAATTTTAATCTCGCAATCGGTAACCCCGCAGGCCGTTTCAAATGTCACATAAATATTTATTCAAATGGTTTTCCAACTCAATGATTTCTATGTTTTTCCCCAGAATCTAAGGCGAAAGTATTTAAGTGGAATTCACACCTCATTCGGGCGCAGGGTCCCGCAACCCATTCAAATGTCAAGCGCACAATTTTGATTGATTTTTCTGCCCGAACGGTTTCAATTACAGGACTCCTATCTCTATCGCCATCCATACCCTCAAAATGAACACGTTCCATGCCCGCCCGACTTTTGCAATAACAAAAGTCATGCTGTGAAACCTCTCATCCCCCCCCACTTCTCATCCCTCATCAACCTGTTGCATTCCCCCAAAAATCAACTGTGATTCCCGCTTCACTGGAGAAAACGCCAATAAAAATGGCAAAGAAGATCTCGCTTATGCCCTCTCTGTCAGGGTCTGCCCCGAAAAACTGTCGCTGACACTTACAAATTGGATTTTGCGACAGGAACAACAACAGAAACTGAAGGACACCCAATTATCGGTAGATGGCATAAAAAATCGCTTAAACGAAGATCCCAGATAAATAATGTGGCATGTAAATAACAACAAATCAATTTTTAAATAGACAAAATGAACCCGAACGTACAACCAAAGACCCACAGCAGGATCCGGGCTCTGCAAGTCCTCGTCCTCCGCCTGACAACAATGAACCCTCTTCACTAATATGGGACGTGGGATGTGTTTGTGTCTGTACAGTGGTACCTGTACCTGTACTGCTTAAAGATTGCCCCAACCTAAATAAAATACTCATAGAATTGCTATTCCTGACCCTCGTTCTTGTAATTAGAACGGTGTTCCCTCTCTTCAAAGATTTGGCAAAGCTAAAGATAGAATTTGTGTTGAATCTATCAATCCCTTTTCAGTATTCAACAGATTTACTTGTAACTTGCAACCACTGTGCTAAGGGCCTCGGTACAAAAAGGGTCTTTGTCTCTGTCAGTGGCAGTGGCAGGCACTTTCACTTAGCCGATGCCGATGCCGATGCCAATGGCGATGGCTTTGATAGATTCAAGTTCACAGTCGGACGCCAGGTAAGCCATCCGTCTGGCCGTCATTCTACCTCCTCTGCCTCCGTTCCCGTCCCACGTTTGGGCCTCATTCGGCGGTTGTTAGCATCTCTTTTGGGACGGAATAGGTTGGCCTGTTCATGCGGTTCATTGACATGGCCATCAGTGGGGGATATGGCTACGGATAAGGATGAAGGTAGGTTAGAGAGTAGCAGATTTAATTTTGATTAATTGCGGCAAATGTTATGCTAATTTGTTGGCACTTTTTTGGCTGACTGCCTCGGGCTACCGTCGTCCCTCCTGCCACTCTGTCTGCCTGTCTCTCTACTGATTTTGGATAAGCCTGTAATGTGAGACTATTAGTGGGCGGTTCGGTAAACTAATTTTCCCCAACAGCGCACCCCCGTCACACATTGTGTTCGAGTGTGCGTCTGCATGGGTTGACAAGCACTAATTAATTGCAATCCATGTATAATGAGAGCAGAGCAGAGAAGAGCTCTGAAGGTTTCTGCTACTACTGCTGCTGCTGCTCTTATGGCGGTTCATTGCGGCAGGCTAATTACTTCGGGGTCTGTCAGTCATGTTCAATCATGTGCAAGAGTCCAACACTTGAAAGTTGATTGGAAAATTCACCTAATAGGAATTTCCTGGATATATTATTCTCCGATTGCCAGACATAGCTATACTTCAATTTCGTGTCAAAATTTCTACATCGAACACAAAATTAAACGAAAAATTCAATGCAGCCATCCGCGGTGACAATTGCTGGGCTTCTACAACTGCTGGGAGTCTGCTTCTTCTTCAGCCCGCCCGAGGATCACTGCTCGCCGGCCCCCGCCCTGGGCAGCTGGGTCTTCCTGTTGGTCATTCTGTGCTTTCTCTGGGACGTTAGTATTTATCCGCTGCGCTACATGCACATGTCCGGCTACTGGCAACTGCTGATCGAGACTGTGATGGCGATTTTCCTCGCTGAACTGGGAGCGATCATCATTTGGTGTTCACTGGAGCGCGTGCTCTACGGCATCACCGAAGGGTTCCTCAACATGTTGGGGATCAACGGGTGCGAGCCCTCGGCCATACAGTACTGGCTCCTGGGTCTCATCACCACGGCGGCGAGCGGAGCGCTTCTCTGGTTCATTCTCGAGGCCACCGATGGCATGTTCTACCTGGAGTGGCATAGCCGTAAGTTGAGGAGAAACCTGCGGCAGGGCTGGGCGTTGATGAGCTGCTACCTCCGCATGAGCAAGGCGGCCAGGTGTCGGGCCGTCAAAGCCTGTCAATTGGCCACTCGGAAACGATGTTCAAGAAAGTCCCGCCGTCCACAGGAAGAGGACGAGTGCGGGGAGGAAGATGAATGTAACTGAGTTTCGTTTGGAATTTACGTTTCCGTTTCGCCAGTCGTGACTGGGTTTTCTTATGGACTAGCATTGGAAATTTCATCGTTTTTCTCCATTTCTCACGTCCCCATCCTTTTTACACGACTGTGACAATAAATTTGGCCAGAGAAGATGCATTCCCGCCTCCTATTCTTGTTGCCAAAAGTGTGTCACAAGAGGTCGATAGCCGAGAAGAGGCGGCGACTGCTATGGAAGGGATTAGGTACTCAAGGCAGTGCTCTCGAACAAAGAGCACATGCCAGAGGTGTCTGCTGACAGGGGGAGGCATGTAAAAGCCATCTTAAAGTATGTTTAAAGTTGAATTATCCCCATAAAGAGAGGGGACCCCAAGCGAAGATGTTTAGACATAATAAATAGAGGTACTCCCATTACGCATGTAATGCCTTCATTCCCAAAAAAATCCAAAAAAAAAGGGACAGAGTTATCTCCCGATTATTCATCGAAAGAATCATTTCTCATAGGCCTCTCCTGTTCCCCAAATTTCAGTCACACCCCCTTTCACTGCCATAACAAACACTTTCACACAGATGGAAAGCTGGGAAATGAATAAAAATGGGCGTGTCAGACGAGTTGCAGACAATCAGGGAACACATTCGGAGTTTGCCATGCATTTCAAGGGAGCAATCGCCGCCATATGCTAACTTTGATTACTTCTTCTGGCTTTTATCGCCGCTCTCCATCCTCACATTCATTCACACTCCCATTCACCATATTTCCTCCACACAATCCTCTGTTGTCAGTGGGGGGTGGAGGCCGTACCAGGAAAAGGCACAAAACAAAATGGAGGGAAAACTAGCTTTGAGGATGCTGGAGATGGTATACCCTTAAAGAGGGATCGAAATATGTGAAAAATAAAGGCTTTTGCGATAACTTTTAGAACAGAATATAGAGATAATAATGTTGCAGATATCTACGTTATTCTATATGTTACAAAAATCTCCTTAAAACTTATAGACCTAGCCTCTGGAAGGGCATGAAAAAGAACACACAAAAAATTGTATTTCATTTGCCTGGGCCTGTATTTTTTTGGAGGAGAGAATGAAGAAGAACGACGGAACCGGATATGCGACATTTTATCAAGTCGGGCATAAATCAACAGCTTATACGGGGTATTCGAGGGGAGTGGGACAGAAATAACAGCGCCAGTCAGTGTCTGTTTGACTGCCTTACTTTAACGCGAGTTGGCAGCTCTCCATTTTGGGTGTGTTCTGTTTCACTTTTTCGCGTTGCTTTGAAATTTTGCAATAATTTATTTTGCATAAATTTGCCAGCACTTAACATGTAAGATCTATGATATAGCCAGGGCCGTAGCCATTGCTGTGAGGAAGATGGAGCTTACCTACCTGCCATACAATCTAGTAGAATCCCCAGGAAGAAATATGTTTCGTGTGTGTTGCGGTGCGGATGGGGCGGATGTGCGGGTCACACTGAATTATGCCATCTAATTTGTCTGGAGGCAGGTGTGGCTCATTAATCTTTCGCCCGCTTATGAGCGTTGCTTTCTCTCTCTCTCTCTCTCTGTGTGAGCCCCGTCTGCACCTCTATCGCTTTTTGCTGCTGCTTCTTTGGATATTCCTTTAGCACCCCCATGGGGTTTGTGTACTGCAGATATAAGCTTTTCCCGCAGCCTCACGTAGTAGCGCGTTTTCGGATTTGCTTTTCGTTTCAATGCCGCACGAAGGTTTTTACACGGATACTCTAACGGAAAACGGTTTGCACTCACTTTTGTTCTGGTTTGTTTGGATTTTGTCATGATTTTTAAGGAGAAACACGCACAACCGGCTCGAGCAAAGCACACACGAAAAGTCTTGGGGAAGCAGGAATCAAAGAAAAACAAACGGTGCTAAAGCACCGTTCTCTTTGCTTGGCGAAGGTGGCGTGATCTCTGCCAGCTCTCGCTCTCACTTCAAGTCGCTTGCTTCGATTTTGCAGAGAGAGCAAGAGAGAGACTTAAGGTGTAAATCAAGGTATGTTTGCATGCGGTAAGGCCACTCTGGCATGCATGCAATGTTGGGAATGTAAATTCTGGGTATGCCCATTCTTTACTAAACACACCCTTTGGCTCTTGATAGGCTCATGACTGATTATAATACAATTTATAGCTAATATTATAGGGAGTATCATAGCATGGTTCTAATATTGGATATGCATAGTTAGTTGTTCTTAATAATATTATAAATTCATTAGTTTACTTACCCGCTTACAAAATTGATTTGAAGTTATTTTTGAATGGTAAATAAATCTATAAAATAAAAAATGTAATCAAAATTAGACAATAATTAAAACAAATGAAAGAAATAAATATAATCCAAATATATAAAAATAAACTAATTAAAATATTTTCTGATTATTAAGTAATATAAGACTATGATTGGGAATCCCCAGAGTACCTATGCTCTCCATTCCTGAAAGGGTGTACAAATGTCGCCCAAGAGGAGAGAGCATCCCATGCCTTCACCGTTGGCCGCGTAGTATTTCCGCACCTGACTCCCGTATCTTAATGCCTAATGGATTTGCGCTTTGATGTGCCAACTGTGAATACGTGGATCGCAATCCCAATAGTAGCACATATCCATACGGGTACGGGTACGGGTACGGTGTACGGGTGTGTGTTAGCCTGGTTGTAAGTGGTTAAGTGTCTATATTAGAAGCCATCGCTTGCAGTTTCCCATTTCCCCCTATTTCTCCATTTTTTGGGAGCCCATTTCCCTGCAAAGGTGGCAACCATAAATTCTCCTCTAAATGGCCTTATGAGGGCGGCGGGCCTTCGAGATGATCCTCTGTTTATGGCCTGGCCAAATGAAAAGTGCGTGTATGTGTGTGGGAAGTGGTAAGTGGTAAATGGGCGTGGCCCGTTTTTGCCTTTAAAATTAAAATCCTGTCCATGGTTCCGGAAAGTGTGTGGCGTGTCTGTGTGGGGGCCTGAAATTGAATTTCCTTCTTGTACCTACTTGATTAGCATAAAATGTGGTACGTGTCGTGGTTTGAATGGAAAATTCCCTCAGATATCAGAGAATACATAGGTGATGATGATTATGATGATGAGGCGTGTCCTCCCGTAATAATGTCGAGTCGGCATTGAGTGCTTTTTCAAAGAATTTATATTTTTATTTTCATTAAAATTGGAAATTTTTTCACACACCACATTGTTCATTAGGGAATCTCAATTTGGTTTCATTTTTCATATTTTATTTTTCGTATTTTCAACATTTAAAAATTCGCTTGGTTTGTAAACAATTTTTGTTTTCCTCCCGTTTTCCACATAGATTACTTATATAAATGTTCTAGAAATGTTCTGTGTTGCCACTGCACTCAACATTTTTTAGTTAATTAAATTGTGTTTGAGTTTAATTAAATTTGTATCTATGTACACACAGTTTTGTATTTATTTGGTTTGGAAATAGTTTTCTTTTTTTCCTATGATGTTTTTTTTTTGTATTCTTTGGGGGTTCCTGTTGCCTGCCCGTGGTGGGTGATTTCTCTCAAAGGTTGTTGTATTATTTTCGTTTTTCCGGATTCTGTTTTTGATGGATCATTCCTGAACTAAACTTAGTTATTTGCTAAGCAAATTAAATTTCAATATAATTAGTTTAGTGTCACACTGGTGTTGTTTAAACTAACATTAATCCTATTGAAACAATATTTACTTTATGAACATTTTGCTGCAGTTTCTTTTAGCAGCAGTTCCTCGTTCAGATCCGTTTTCTTATTTTTTTTTTCATTTATGTTTATAAATCATTGTTCTGTTCAATATTTTCTAAATTTAAGTTTTCTTTTTAACTATAATTTGTTGTATGTGTGTTTTTTTTTAGATATTTGCTAGATTTTGGTTTTCATTCTTTTAGGAAATCATTAGAGATTCATTTAAACTTGAACAGTAAAATCTTTTTGAATACCTAAAGCATATTTAACCAACATTTTGTAATATAAATTCAGGCAAGAACTGAGGAGGGACAGCCTTTGGATCTGAGGATATGATATCTAGATATAACTATGGAAAAGGTAACGAAAATAAAAACTCACTCTTGACTCTTCAAACAGGATGAAATATTAACCATAAATAGAAACGGACATGGACACAATGGAATCTCTTTCTTTAGCTTCTTCTTTGTTAGATTATGATATCTATTTTTAAACTAAATTCTTAGATAATTTAATTTCACATTCACTTATATTCAATACTTTTAGTTTTCATTTTTTCTGGCAACTTATTCAACACTCATTTACATCAGAATTCGGATCAAAAGTTCTTGTGCTTGAATCTTCATTGGTTTTTTCTTCTAGAAGCACATGGAAAAAACTATAAATATTGGACCAAAAATTACCATTGAACCTTATTAAAAGTCAAATATGTGTTCTACATCCGCTACTATCGCTTATCCTTCTTGTTAGTCCTTAACTGTCAAATATTTACAGTAGGGTGTTCTCCCTGTTCTCTCTGTTCTTCTCGGTTGGAGCTTCCATGAATAAATCAATTAACATTTATGGGTCGAAGAAGGAAAACTTAGCATACTATGCGCTGGATATCAGCGACCACAAAATACTATTTACAAGGTCAACCACACAATCCACCAAGTCGTTTGAAGGGGGTTTGGTGTGGAGTATGGTGCTGTGGTGTGGTTTTGGGCGGTGTGGCAAGGACATTCATGTCGTCGCCATTTTAGTTTTTGGGCTGTCGAGGCCTTTTGTGTGTCTGTCGACATAGTTTTTACTTAACTTGTGTGTGCGGTGCGATGCGGAGTGGAGCGGGTTCATTGAAACGATGGCAGTCAATGTGTCAGATAAACATTCCCAGAGACACTTTTGTGCTGTGTCTCTGTTCTGTGCTCTCTGATAGTGGGAGAGAGCATCCAAGAAATGGAGCGTGAGAGTCAAGTGTGGGAATTTATAGTTTCATCCGAAAGATTTACCCAATAAACACCTTGATGTGTCAGCCACAGATGGACAGAGGAACACTCCTCGGTGTGGCTTTAGAAGTGGGTGAATAGGAGGGAGAATGGTAACACTATTCCCGCTTGGCTGCACACAAGCGGTCACATTTATATGGACGATATGTTTGCTTTGTATGCGGGATGATGATGCCCATCGTCTCTTTGCTCGTCTGTTTGCCTTGGCATCGCAAAATGGCCGGACCACGGACCCAGACCCGTACGACCCTGCTCGGACGTGCTCTGCTGCAGCACAGCACAGCACACACATCTATCTATATGTAGGTCTGAACATGCATGTTTATCCCTGTCAATGACAGTTGTCAACATGACAGTTATAAGGACACTGATACAAATGTAACGGATGTTTGTGTTGGACGAAGTCCAGAGATCCCTGGAGTTCTAAAAGCAAAGATTGATTAAAATTCTTGATAAATGAGACGGGTGTACTACAGCAGTTCTCTCAAGATGACATTTTGAAATGTTTTGAAAGATGAAAGGGGGGGGAGGCAGTGTTTTCTTGGAATTAAAAGTAAACTTCTTCTCTTACTTCTGCTCTGGTACAGTTGAACCTTCATTTGGCCAACAGCTGTAAACGTTTTACAGCACTGTTCCACTGAAATCTGTCAGTTCTGAGTGGAATTACATTTTGCGAGTCACTAACCAGACTTTTTACAGTTGAACGGTAACTGATAAGCCAACAAAATTCCACAATATTTAGCTAAAGTTTCTGAGCCACAGAAGCTTAAGGTATTCTTCAGTTACAGAACAGTTTGAGCCATCTTTTGGCAACACTGGCATTACACATACTTATTTTCTTAAATGTTACAACACTCACTATTCTTTTCAGCAGCTTGTTGAGCATAGATTGAGCAGCTTTGAGCATAGTTTTAATGGGGGAAATCCCATTGAATCGCTGGCCATCAATGCGTGGGACCCATGTAGATCCCTCCCATGCTATCGCCGCTGTCACCACCCACGCCGCTGCCCTCCCCGTCATCCTCCAGGCCATCGATCGCCACCGAATCGCCGTTCCGCTTGCCGCAGAGACCATTATTGGCCGCCGCCTCGTACGTGTCGCTGTCTTCCACCAGACAACAGTCGCCGCAGTCGTCAGTGGAGGAGTTCACGTCATCGCTGAGATCGTCCAGCAGCGTGACCTTGGGCGCTCGCAGATCCTCCAGACAGCCTCCCGGTTCCGTGGCCACCGAGATCTTGATGTTGCAGTTGGTCGAGGCGTGGCAGGCGGACATCGGCAGCGGCTGGTGGGGATGTGGAATCGGCTGTTGGATCGTCGTCGACTGGGGGGGTCCTTGCGACGCATGGGAGGCCCGATAGCTGAGGTTAGGTGTGCGCTGACCCATGCTCGCCATTCCGGGCGGCATCTGGCTGTGGGTCATGCTCAGCGTGGGTGGGACATTCAGCACGGTGGCGCCCGTCTTCTGGGCATGCTGATGGGCGTGGCCGGTGTACATCAGCTGGTGGGTGTCCGAGACCAGATTGTGGGCAGTGAGCTGTAGAGGATGCTGATCCTTGCGCTCTGTAGCGGGAGAGGAGAAATTTCTGTGTCAGTTGCTTTCAATAAAAAACACTTCAAGGATGCACGGACCGACGCGGATACGGACACGGAAACGGAAGTGCATTCGAGGACATGTCAGCGATTGGTTTATCGCGCCCCTCACACTCTCACAGAATGTGCAGGCATCTGTGAAGGCCTTAAGTGGTTGCAACGACGCTCCACTTTGACTCTCCTGCCTCCTGCTGCCCCAAGGGACTAACGTTGGAAATGGGGTTCATTCAGGGATACCCTGTAAGGGGGTATGATAAGTCTAAGCAGGGTGTTTCGCAGCCTGTCAGCTCTCGGACAACGAAAATATTTAAATTTTTTAAGGTATTCCGCTCTTCGATTCCAAAGGCCTATAACTTCCATCCTCCTATCAGTGATCAGCACCACCACACTCGACCTGCCCCATTGTGCCTGCCTCTTTACACAATGGCTCTCAAACTATGTGTGTGGTTTCAAGTGGGTTCAACTGCGTGGGCTTCACCTTTTACACTTGCCACTTGTCGTAGCCCCTGGACCTATCTGTCCACAAAACTTTCAACCAAAAAGGGGAATGAGATCGGAAAGAGCGAGGGGCGTCTGCGGCATCAGCATCTACAACTCACCGAGGGGCCCCAGAAGTTTCGGCTGGAGCGGCAGCATAAAGTCGTGGCCAGTCGTCGCCGCCCTGGGCTGCAGGCTCTGCACCGCCGGAACGCTCAGATAGTCCGCTGCAAGAGGGGAAAGGGAAAAGTCCGGCCAAGGAAATGCGTTAGTGCCGGCGAAAACAATGTAGCCCCGGCCCAAGTCAAGGCAAAAGTTTTCCCCCAAACAACGAAAAGAAAAGACACCAAAGAAGGAAAAGAAAAAATGGATCAGGGCGGTAAGGAGAAAAACCCCAAGTGAGGGAAATGCGGAGTCTAAAAAACTTTAAAAAGGCACGCAGCTAAGATTTTTTCTTCCTCTGGTTTATTTTTTTTTTACAGTATTTTGTTAAAAAGTTGGTGGCAGGACACAAAAAAAAAAAACACAAAAAAGTGAAGAAGTGAAAAGTTGCGAAATCATTTTTTAATATTTTTAGATATATAAATATACATATATTTTATCATTTCCATCAAAAGTCCAGGAGAAAAGTTACTATTTGAGATAATTGAAGGGGAAAGGAGGCAGGAGAATCTATTTTAAAAGACGTCAATCAATATTTTTGTTGGAAAATTAAAAGAAACCGTTTGAGCGTATAAAAAAGAAAATCGAAGTGGTTTACCATGCTTAGAGAAAACTTTGAAGGCAGTCACAAATGGAAATAAATTCATATAAGGGACAATTGGAATCTATAACGAGGGGGAACGTTATGAGTTGCTGCGGACACCGCAACTCTACAGTTATACCCGATACTAAGTCAGTATGGCTCTCCTCCGGCAGACGCCGCTAATATTTAACGACACGACAAAGAGTGCGTGCGAGAGAGACAGAAAATCAGTCTGAGCGTGACGTCGGGCGCTGCGTAGCCAGTGCAAATTGGTTTCTTCCTTTTGGCTATAAAAATGACCTGATCTGATCCAAATTCAGCAACTGGATAGATATGGTCATTCTCTATGATTCTACTTTTTTAGTTTTCTCGAATCTGCAATATTGTGGATGCCACAGATTTTCGTCCTTTGTGGGGGCGGATGGGGGTGGGGCGAAATTCTGAGATATGCGTTTTATAGTGACATCTTAAAGGAGTGTGTGTACCAAATTTGGTTACTCTAGCCTTAATAGTCTCTGAGATTTGTGGTTGCCCCAGATTTTCGTCCTTTGCGGGGGCGGAAGGGGGTGTGGCGAAATTTGGACACGAAACGGTCAAGGTCCGATATCTCAGGAGTGTGGATACCAAACTTGGTTGCTCTAGCTCTTATGGGTTCTGAGATCCTTGAACTCATATTTTGCAATTGGCGAAACCGACCATGAAACCTGTGTGTTAGAGTGAGACAGAGCAAGAGTGAAATTTTTTCCGTGATTCTGGCTATAATAATAATACGATCTCGTTCAGATTTTGCACTCTGTAAGATATAGTCATCTTCTACGATTCTGCGTTTTAAGTTTTCTCGTATCTTTAAAAATGTGGATGCCACAGATTTTCGCCCTTTGTGGGGGCGGAAGTGGGCGGGGCAAAGTTTTGAAATATTTTTGTAGCAGTGACATATCACAGAAGTCTGGATCCAAAACATCGTTGCTCCAGCTCTTATAGTCTGTGAGCATTAGGCGCTGAAGGGGACGGACAGACGGACAGACGGACGGACGGACAGACGGACAGACGGACGGACAGACAGACAGACATGGCTCAATCGACTCGGCTATTGATGCTGATCAAGAATATATATACTTTATGGGGTCGGAAACGATTCCTTCTGGACGTTACACACATCCACTTTCACCACAAATCTAATATACCCCAATACTCATTTTGAGTATCGGGTATAAAAATCATGGAATATTCTTCAACACACTCCTATAATTATGTTACACTGAGATTTTAAGCAGTAAAGAACCTACAGATCTCAATTTGTATTAAAAATGCATACTAGAAAAAGTTGGAGTATCTATAATTAAAAACTTTCTTAAAGTTATGAGAGTTCTGCTCTGCAGAATTTAGTATTTCATTTATTGAAGAGCTTAGTTTACATGAGTATATATTTTCGCAAAGTCAGGCAACAATCCATCATATTTTCCGAGGGATGGGAGAGGAACTTCTGACTACACGAGTAGTTTGCTTGACATTTGTCAGTCTTTGAAGTGGTCTCCATTTGCATCGCCCGACCAACGATGACGATGGCTGGGAAATGATTTACTTTTGCAGTTGATGTTTGAGCGAGTGCAATAATTTTAAATATTAAAATTAATTTTCGCGAACTCCTGCAAGCAGAGAGTCCTGCTACCAGGAGTATTCCAGCGAGAGAGCTGTAGCAGTGGGTGGCGTACAAAAATAAATAGTAATGGCGGAAAGCAAAGCTCGAGGGAGGAATGGGGGAGGGTGAGGGTGGGGTTGGGGTTTGGCTTGCGGATTCTTAACAGTTTTCTGCACCACCCACTGCCAGCTTTAATTGAAATTCCTGACTGTTGCTGCCTCCGGCACGGGTGTGTGCACTTTTGCCTCACTGTGGCCATAAATTTGTGTTCACGCCTCCTGCCTTGTGCGTCCTGCCTGATTGTGTGTGTGCTTAATGACCACTAGAAGCCCCTGAAGGTAACACTGTAGCAGCAGGGCTGCTGTGTCGGCTGCCTGCTAATGATTTAGTTGCTACTTTTGTGCCCGCCGTCATTTGCATGCCAGAGTGGGAAAAGCCCGGGGCCCGAACACCTTCGCATAATGCAAAGCAGCTCAGACTTTGACTCAAAGAAGGTGGGGGCAACCGAAGCTCCCCGCCAAATGTCAGCGGCACCTGCACTTCCGGCTAACAACGAAATGTCATCTTGCCCCTCGCACACCGCACACCGCCCCCGCCACCCGTCAGCGTGTAGCCACGAAACGTGCCAAAGTGCACACCGGAAATGGGGCAAGTTGTGTCTTTTAAGCGGCTTATAAAAGTTTCCTCTCCACACAGCATTTTCGACGCAGCAGCGGAACGGAAAGGCGTGCAACAAAGAAAACACTTTATAATTACATTTTTCTAGAAATTTGTCAGGAATTTTTCTTTAGCATTTTTTTGCGCTAAAATAGAGCAGGGACAACTTTCAAATGGCACAAAACTATGCTTTTAAGTGGCATGAAATTTTGAATAGAATCGGGTTAATTATACGAGAGCTACCTTCAATCTTTGAATAATATATCGCCATGGCTCTATTGGTGTTCTGATAAGTCCCTCTACTCTTATACGTAATTCCTCATTACATTTTCCTTCCCCCCAAGCCATGTCAAACACTTAAACATTTTCAGCTAAGGAACTTTCAACTTTTCGATAGGATTTTCTTTCATTTTTTTCTGCATTTTTTATAAGCTGGAAAGTGGCTCAAGAAATTAATCGCCTTCAGAGCCGCAAAACTGCCTTCCGCTTGGCCATGTCCCCCTGCCACTCCTCTCCTGAAGTTTTCCTGAAAGAAACGAGTCCGGGCATGGACTTGCACCCTTGAGCCTTTTGTGGCTCTTTAATTAAAATGCACTTCATGCCGCAAAACAATTTCCACACAGCCAGGTTTCCACATTATACGAGTACATATATAGTACGAGGTATTTAGTACGTAGGTACTCGTCGTAGTTTTTTTTCTTCAGGTTTCGACAGGTTTTTTCCCCACTGGGGTTAGATGATTTTCCAGTGCTTTTCCAGTGGACGGGTACGGGTCCAGCAAATGGAAAAACTTTTTCAATTTGTTTTGACGATAAATGGAACTTTATTTCCATGTGTGTGAGCGACTACTTTTGGGTGTGTCCATTTTGAAATATGACATAAAAAGGATTTTCGGGAGAGCATAATAAAATTGCAATTAAATTTAAATGCCCGAAAATAAAAAGGAGTTGCGTTTTCCACCGAAAAGCTTTTAATATGCAAATAAACGTAAAAAGTTTTCCCTCATTTTTGTTCCTCCTGCTCGTTTATTGACTGAAAGCCGGAGTGGAGTGACAAAGTTATGGCACTCGGGTAGAATTTATAGCATGCGATAAATTTTAACAAGCCAGAAGGGTGGCATGCCCCCGACTAATTGTTGCAACCCCATAAAAAGTTCTTATGCAGGCATTAAAAGGATATTTTCTTATTTTTCGCCTACAATTCTACTCGTGCGGCATGCGACAGAGAGAGAGACAGAGACAAAAGCAGATACAGATACAGATACGGAGGAAGAGTAAGACATAGACAGAGAGAGAGAGAGAGATAGGGGGGAGGGGGGGAGATGGTTAGATACTGGGGAGAAAGAGACAGGACTACACTTACAACTGATGAACGAGGAACCCGCAGAGGCTGCAGCAGTGGCGGCGGCGACTGTGGCCACTGCTGCTGCCGAGGCGGCGGTAGGTGACGTCATCGTCGATGCATAGCCAGAGCCAGCGGCATGGGCATGACCATGGGCATGGGCATGGGCATGGCTGTGGGCGTTGTGGGGCTGCTGCTGTGGCAGAGGCACTTGATAGGTCGTTGTCATCGCTGTCGTCGCTGCCGTCATAGTCGCCGTCGTCGTCGTCGCTGGCTGCGGCGGTGGCGGCAACGTTTGCCTATGCGGATGTGGATGCGAATGCGGATGCGTATGCGGATGTTGCAGGCCAATGACATTGACGCCATTCACATTCACGGGGCCTGCCAGGTGGTGGTGGTGGTGGGTGGGTCAGCACGCACAAAGGACATAGATATACATATACATAGACATACATATATACGAGTACGAACACACATACACACACAATTAAATATATATATTGATATATATAATATAATAAGATATCACGCGAATAATAATCCAACATCAAAGAACAAATCAAGGACTTAAAACAGCAAAAGGCAGCCACATCAAAATTAATTCGTTAATGTACGAGTACTTATCAAAGAAGGGTATGGGTTGTCAATTTTCAAATTAGATTATGCCCCAAAGATACCAACAGTACAAAAAGGCCCAAAGAACACAAAGAAAGGATTACTTTTTCGTTAAATCAAATCATTTTCTAAATGAACAACTGGTATTGAGAAAAGCGTGATTCAAAAGTAATTGAAAATTAAGTGGGGGGATCTCTCTTATGTCCCAGAACTGTTGAACATTTCTTCAAGATGATGGTTTTTGTTAAATTATTAGAGCCCCTAAATGAAAAGTGGGGAAACATTTTTCAAAAAGGAAATAAAAATGTTTCTTAGTGCGTGCCTAAGACTTTTAGAATGATATTAATGGAGTGATTAGATTTCTCAAGGTAATCTTTACTTTTCTAGCTACTTCACTAATTTACACTTTATTCTCATCAATCTCCTCTTTCCATCACTTCCCTAAGGTGCATTTTTGGTCATCTTAAATCTTATTCGATTTCTGAAGCATAAACTTTCCTCTGCAAATAGTAATAGACATTTCGTCTCTTGAATAAACACCATAAATAACCGACACTAGATCTTGTGTCACAAATCCCCCATCATTAATGGACTCAGCATCAAGCTCCGCTTGAGCGGAGACTTCTCTGCCAACATGAGAGCATTAAACAAACGCAAAGAGATTATAAATCCTAGCAGGACATCAGATTTATAACCTTTCAGTAAATTTAGCAATTTCTTGAGAACAAAATGTCCACTGCAACTGCAACTGCAGGGAGATGCACGGTGCAGGATGCGGGAGGGGAAATCTTGTGTCTTGGATGAGCGCATGATATATCAACTAAAGTAGTGCTGCCCGGAGGCGCCACCGCATCACATGTGCTGCCTGCCTGGCTGCCTCTGTCCGTGTCCCCTGAACCTGGCCCTCACTCTGGTCTTGGACCTGGTTCTGCTTCTGCTTCTGATTCTGGGCCCCCTGACCGGAATGCCTTTGAATAATCAGTAAAATGGAAATTTACCACATGGTAGGACCCCAGGGGGCGTCACAGGCAAGTCTCTCCAGAGGGGGGGAGGGAGGTGGCGGTAGTAAATGCTAAATAACAGCTGACTCCTCGCTCACTGAAGGGTGCATAAATAATAAAATAATTAAACAAGAAATTGAATGAAATTAGTTTGGCCCCCAGGAGCACGAGAGAGCAGCAGTGGGTGGGGTGAGGGCAAAGGGGACTGCAGTATGTATCTGTGCTTGTGTGTGTTAAATGTTTTCAGCGGGTGTGTATGCCTGTGTGCGTGTGTATCTGTGTGCGTTGTAGCTGAGGCTGCCTCTAAACATCTGCAGGCCAAAAAGCAAAGGAAAAACACAGGACAACAAATTATAAAACTACCAAAGAGAAGGATAGGAAGATAAAAGAGTATACAGAATATATGTATAGTCGCGTCTTTCGACTATGACGTATCCATTACTTATATATTTTTTGGGGAATTTATAGTATAAAATCCAAATGACACTGGAATTTTAGGTAGATACATCATTCTACCAAATAACAACATTATTTCTCTAGAATTGTGGATGCCATCGAATTTTGAACATGGCATAAAATCAGATAAAAGTTCTATCGGACAGATATAGTACTACCTATAGCTTTCCCTCCAGTAAAGGGTGTAATTCCGTGAGGACTCACCAATTTTAGCACCACCGAATGCATCTTTGAACATGGGCGCTGCTGCTGCCGGGTGGCCCACAGCATGGCCACCGCCTCCTCCACCAGCCGGACTACCCACCATTCCTGGCACAGTGGGCGCCGTTTGTTTAATGGCGTTCGTCCGTCCGCGGTGCGGGGCCGTGGGTTCCCGTTTGCGACGCGGCTGCTCCACGGGCAGGACACGACGCCGCTTTTTGGGCAGCTTTGAGCGGGCCTGCGGACAAACAGAGAGGGAGAGAGTAAACAGGAATTCAAAGGGAGATCCTAGAGTGCTGCACTCACCTGTGTGTGTGAATAGAACATGGAGAAGTTGCTAACGATAACAGGTACGGGTAGGGCGATGGTCAGGACACCAGCGAGGGCGCATAGGGCACCCACAAACATTCCCGGATAGGTTTTGGGCGCCACATCGCCATAGCCAACGGTGGTCATGGTCACAATCGCCCACCACAGGCCCAATGGGATGCTCTTGAACTGGTTGTCCGGGTTGTCCTGTCGAGCGGAGTAACCATCATCAGATACGACTACACTCAAAGGAAACCTGTCACTTGCACTCACCTGCAGCTTCTCGGCATAATAGGCGAGACTCGCAAAGAACACGATGCCCAGGACGAGGAAGAAGACGAGCAGTGTGAGCTCCTTGGCCGAGGCCTTGAACGTGTGGATGAGGATACGCAGTCCGGGCGAATGGCGCGTCAGTTTGAACAATCGCATTATCCGCACGATGGAGAAGGCCTCCAGGAGACCCGTGTACTCGCCCATGCGCTGCATCACATCGGTGTAGAAGCTCAATGTGGCCGTAAAGTCAATGATGTTCACTGGGGATTTGATGAACTGCCACAGATTGGGAGACACCTAAGGAGAGGTAAGAAGGAGGTGTGGTGTGAATACTGAGTAGTTTTCCTCCCTTGAAACACTCACAATCAATCGAATGATAACTTCAATGAAGAACCACACATTGCACACCAGTTCCACATAGAAGAACGCCTCATGGGGCTGGCCGTAGGTCTCGACCCATCCATGCTGCCGTCGACCATTGTTTCCCAGGAGCTGATCCCCGATAAATTCATTTATGGCACTCCCATTGAGGTCTCGTTTCAGGCGCTGCCGCTGGTTGCCCTTGATGCTGGCTATGGGCGTGGCCTGGGCGGCTGTGAAGTTGCCGCTGCTGTAGCTCGTGTAGTTCGTGACACGAAAGGTGGGCCCGATGCTGCCGCTGGGCGGCGTGATGCTATGCTGGTGATACTGGTGCGTTGTCTGTGGCGGGGGTTCTCCCAGGGGGTCATGTCCGTGCGGATGGGTGCTCCCAGGACCACTGTGTCCTCCGTATCCATTGTGGGTGACGGGGAGATCCACACGGAAGCCGGGATGGGTCTTCAGGCAGAATGATATCACAGAAACAAATATAAAGAAAACCGACATGCCAGCAACGATCTAAAGAAGCGCAAGGATTAGTATTTTTGCAAAGGATATGGGAATGGATCCTACCTTCGCCCCTGTGGAACTTGAGGGCTCATCGAACATGGCCCAGATCTTGGGTTTCAGCCGTTGCCAGCAGTTAAGCTCGCCGTTGCTCAATGCCTCCTCAAAGCCAAATAGTCGGGCTATCTGCTCCTCCGTGGGCTTCTCATTTTCAATATCTAGCTTATCTAATATGGCTAAGGTGTTCTATGGGATAATGCAACATTTAGGATAGGATATTCTTAAGTATCTGTAGGATGTGTATCTGTACTCACTTGCGTATCGCGATGTATGCTATAGGTTGACCAACAGCAGGGCTCTACCTGATTCGAGTCGAGGCCCCAGAACTCCAGCTCCTCCTCGAATAAAGGGCCACACACATCGGTTGGATAGTGCAGTTTTCCAGTTCTGTTTTTACCGGGAGATAGAAAGAGTATGGGAAATATATAAACCTTAATTAACTATAGATTTTGTCTATATTCTGATGAAATCTTCTACCATTTTTTGGCCTCAAATTGGCTAATTGGCAGGCAGATTGGTCTCCTGTTTGTACGAGTATCTCAGTAGGTCAAAGCAATTAAAGCATCTCCTACTCCCCTTTCAGTTTCTTGTCTGTAAACAAATTCATGGACTTTGCCGCTGGCATTCCGTTTAAGCCACATCAGTCCTTAGAATACACTTGTATTATTATGGCCAAAATGGCACGTCCTGACATTGTGGCTGCAAATTGCGGAGATTCTGGTGAAGTGTAGGGGCATTCGCATCCATGGCATATGCATGGCAGGTAAATGGGTGAGGATACTCGACATTCAGCTGCCAGAGGTTGTGGGAGAGGCACGGACATCCTCTCACCCTGCAGCCAGTGGCATATTCATAATGCTGCTGCCTTGGCCATTGTTCCATTCGTGTGGCCATCATGTGGCACAGCTCGTGGCCCTCGTCCCCGGGTCCCCACCCTACATGTGCAACAATTTGTGTACCCTTTCACAAGGGTACAATCTGCTCCACTACATCGCATACCTTTCAGGGAAACAAAGGGCATCTACCGCTTCGGTGACCCTGCCTTTCTTCTGGTTTCTGTGTGCAAATTACAGTAAATGGCTGCAAGGGGAACTCCCGCAAAAGGGATAGAGAGTGGCAGGGCGGATGGACCTCGTCCTTGTCTGCAGTTGTTGGCCAACTTGTAATGCCATATCAGCTGCTGGACAGCCATGAGAGCGGGATGAAAAAAGGTAGAGTGGGGCCGGTCCTTGCCTGGTTTTATTTTTGGATGATATCTTTACCCCCTTCCCTCTCCAAATGTGTGTGTGTGTACCATGCACCACGTGTGCATATCCTGAATGTCCCTTTTTTCGGTTTTTGTGCAACTTTTTCGCTTTCGTGTTGGTTGGCAGCGCTTTTGTGCTTGTTAAAAATCATTTCGTTACACGGAATGCCTTGGAAAAAAATTGTTATAAAAAGCGAAGGAAAACTCCCGCACTAACTCCCCCTCCAGGCGATTGCCTGCGGACTTGCAAAATGCGGATTTCATGATGGGACCTGAACCTGATCCTTCTGTTCGAGGTGGTGCCCCTACAATTGTCCGCGACTCCTCTACAAAATGCGCAGCGACTTTGACATTTTGACATGACCGCCGGGAAATTTGCACGGTCATTTTAATGGATGGAATATGTACATTTTTTGAGGTCCCAATACCCTGGAACTAACGAAAAGAGGTAGAAAAGTTAGCTGGAAGGAAAAAATCCATTTAAACTTCATAACTCTTATCATCCATCCATGGCCCTATACCGTACAGGGTATCCCTTAGTGGAACCTTTTAAATACCTTTATCTTCCAACATCCTGTACTTTTTAATCTCTCGAAGTGCGTTGCAGTCATTTTCAGGGCTTTTCGCCATAATTCTGTTCGCGCGGATCGGTAATTGGTTTCCACCATAAAAACCACTCAACAATTCCCGCCCCAAAAGCTTCCACACCGTTACAATATTATTCCCTGTCCCCAAAACTACATTTTGGTCAGGTTTTCGCTGCCTTTTATCCTTTCATCAAGTGTCCATACAAAATATAACGCATACGCAACGGCTGCAAGCGATGCAACCAATACAATCAATATTTATAGCTGACCTTCCGAGGGCCCCACATGCCCCATGCAGCACTTGCCGCACCACCAGCCGCTGATCAGCCGCATATAAGGAGACTCTGCGCTTAACTATGCATAAATAATTACCCATCGATTGGGTCCACGCGACTTTTGCTTTAATTTCGTGCACGAAAAGTGGAAAAACAATGGACAATGGTTCCCAAGGGAACTCCGGAAGGTCTGTGCTGCGGTTCCAAGCTGTGAAAATCATTATTTGTAGTGTAAATCGAGTTGATTATGAAGTTTACAACAAGAAGGAGCAACTTTTAATGGACTTAAAGTGGAACTCAAAGAATAAATCAGTTTTTGCTTTACTTTTGTAGCTCTTTCCTGTATCGTTTGCTCCGAATCCCTAAGAAATCGGTATATAAAACCCATCTTGACCTACCCTTAGGTCGATATCGCCCGAAAATATGCCTACTTTACTTTAAATTCACCTTGATTGTGATTATCCAATCGATAAGTAATCGATAAACGTATTTTATCGCACGTTTATGCCATCTAATTTCTAATTTAAGCTGCACCGTCAATTCCACTCAGCTCTTATCAATATGAATGGGAAATCCTCTCACACATCCAGAAATTGTCTGAAGCTTTTGGTGCGTGCATAATTTGATTATACAACCCCACCCTAGGACACTGCATAATGGAGGAGATCGTTGCCCCTCGAGGACTCAGTTTCATATCCAATCAACCCTGGATATGGCACCGTTTTTTCTCTCCTGCTTGCCCTCGCTTGACACCATTTTCCGTGGGGTGCGAGGGATTTGAGGGGGTGCCTGGTTAATTGAGTTGGAAAACTGTTTGGCCAAAGCCCCGAGAGCTATGGATGGAACGGGTGGGGATGGAGGATGGAGGATGGGGGATGGCTGTCCAATCAATGAAGACGTAGCCATGGGATGCTGCTGACAGCGTTGTATCTTCATTTGCAGCTGCAACAAACAGCAGGTGTGAGGCGGGCGGTGGTGGAGATGGCCAAAACAAAGTTTCATTAATTTTAAACAACTTAAGTCATCGCGGAAACGAAGCGCCCAACCGAAGATAAATGAGTCCACTAATGACCCCCCAGGAAAAATGTTGTATCAACTTTTGCCGCTCCAAAAAGTTGAGATTAATGTTTCGTCCTTCGGTAGAACGGGGTATGTTTTTGCACCAATTAAAATATTAGTTTGTTTATTCATCAAAGGGTCCCTCCCCCCGCACTACCGATGAGCTCCAATGATATGTTTGCTGAGTGCCATTTATCAGCAGGATAGTCATTGCAGGCAAAGGCAAACAGAAATGGAAATGCCAAACATCCTTCGCTTAAATGCTGTAATTACCATTCAGAGGACGAAGTCCATTCCCCCATTTCAGAGTCGTTGCACGTTCAAAAGCACCTTTCGGCAGCAGCAACTTAATTAGGATTCTCATTCTCACCTACCAACGACCAAGGACCAACGACCAAGGACCAAGGAGCAAGGACTCACCTGTAATAGTTGAGGATTTGGGTGAATACACCGGGATGGCGATCGAAGAAGTATTCATTGAGTACCGGATCGTAGTTGGCCAGCGCCTCGGTCAGTCGGGAGAGGCGTGTTGCGGGGATTTTCTTGAGCGTTGCCTTGTAGGTTTCATATCTGCAAAGATAAAACAGAAAAAGCACATAAATTGTGGCGGCATGGCAGGGCATTTGCATGGGGATTACTAATACGCAATGCGCATACGCCATGTGGGCCACCTAATAACTTAACAAATTACTTAAGCCATAGCTACTGACCCTCTCCTTCCCGATTCTGTTGGGCTCTGACTCTAAAAGAGTGAGCCATAAAAACAGGGTCGGGGGACTGGCAGAGAGCCCGGCAAAGGGTCAAGCAAGTGTAAGCAAAAACCCCAAGCCATAAGCCATTTGCATACATTTCACTTCAGTTTTTGCCCATCTCCTGGATGGCTTGGCCTTTTTTTTTCCTTCTTGAAAGGTTTTTTTTGGTCTTTTCGTTCGTTTTTTTTTTTGTTTGGCCTGCTCCAAAGTGGGTCTAGAGTTTCTTCTGTTTGAAGTAACCTTTGACAGGCAGATGATTACCGCACAAAATTGATGGATTTCAGATTTATCCTTTCTGGCATTTGTTGATCTTGCGCCTAAGCAAACGAAAGTCAATCTAAAAATTCTACTCCAGGCAGGGTTCGGTTGGCGCTTGTTAATGGCCTGAAATATGGTAATAATTCCGTGTGGGAACGAACATGTGGTTGGCATTTTCACAATGGCAGGCAGAATACAATTAAAGCGAAAGTGGAATAACAAATAAATATTTGTTAAATATTTCAATTAAAATCAAAAGATATAAATCAAAGGAATGTTTGTTGGAAATGCATTTGAAATAATTTTATCTATTTTCCAGCAAAGTTCCATCATCATTAACATTCCTTTGAGGCCAGCGAAGGCATCCAGTCCAATGAGGGTAATATTTGTAAATTATTTCAAATTATTCTGGCGCTTTGAGAGCATCCATGGAATAGCATTAAGCCGAATGGGAAGAAGTATCGGTGTTAATCATATTTCCACCTCGATTACACACCTGCCACAAACACACACATACACACACATATCATCCAACCGCATGAAAACCAAACTTAATTTACGTAATCATCCATAAAATTATACGAGTACTCGCAGTCGCTCTCGCCTCGCACCCGCATGTGGAAGGAAGGACAACAACGACACCGACAACGACTCCCACCAGGCGTAATTAAATTCAATTGAAAGTCATTTCCAACAATTTGTTGTAAATTTCATTCTGCACATCTATAACCCACAACCCACACATTACGGAGATGGGGGAGGGAGGATCCTGCAATCACTGACATTTAAGTGCGTGTCCTGCAGAGACCAGAGCCGTGCCGAGAGTCCTGCTGCCGCTGCTGGGTTGTCCATATGTAATGTGATTTTTATGCCAAACTGTTTGTTCTCTCTCGTCGGTTATTAAATATTTCATGCCGCTGTGGACAACAGCAACGGCAGCACCCACATCCCCATCCCCATTCCCATCCACATCCACGGCAGCGTCATCAATAACAGAGACCGACGCATAACAATGGCCATTAAAGTTTATTTCGGCTGTTTGACGATGGTAATTGGGCCCGACTCGAACGCAAACCCATACGCAATGTTTACTCTTCTCGGATTCTGAATTGCATAGCATTTTCGTGCATCGAATTAGTTTTTCCTGTCAGTGATTGGATTTTCTCTGTGTTTTGTTCTGCTCCTGACTTTGATTCCGGCCAACGATGCGTATGCGGGATTCATTAGACAGCTGCGCTGAGCTTTCAATTTACGAGTGGAGCACCACCAAGCATTTGACAAATTGTCCTAAATCGCTTTTAATGAATTATGGACAAACAAAATCCATTTGGGGGCCATCAATTTTGAGAGTGGTTTGTATTTTCGCTGACAGCCGAAAAGCACGCAAAGGGCAATATATATTTTGAGCAGTGCTGCCAGGGTTTCAGAGACAATTTAAGATACATAGATACGAAAAAATATACCAAAAGTGGCTAAAACCGGAAATAAGTAAGCTAAAAATTAGGCTTAGACCGTTGATTTCCAAAAAAATATTTAAAATTTTCGACCATATTATTTATTATTTTGTACTGAATTTATTATCGAAATATAACAAATAGCTATATAAGCTATTATTTGAATAGTGCCAGATCTAGCTAAATAGCTGAAGTATGCTGAACTGGCAGTGGAAAAAGATCCGAATACTAAGTAGAATATTGACTGAGAGAAATGTACATTGAGAAAACCTCAAAGATTGTTTAGAAAATTGATTCATTGACACAAATAAATGCTGATAAGTTTTCGTATACTATTTTTGAATTGAGTATTCTGAAATTAAGAAATTCTTCAGATATCCACACTTATGTGGACAATCTCTTAATTTAACCTTTCCGCAATTTCAGAGTGTTTATTTAATGGGCGCCAACACAATCTAGCATTTGAAAACACATCATAACATCGATGTTTCTCCATCTCCACTTTATAGTAGCCCGTAGACGGCCAAGCCTTCAATATCAGTTTATAGTTTCGCCCCTGTTCCGCTTCTATTCTCTTGAAAACAAAAAAAAACAAAAATGCGGCGCGTTTTGAAGACCGGCGGCACCCTGTTGCGTTCGCAAAACAAGAACTTTGCCGCAGCTTTGGCCCACTACGCCGATATGCCCAAGCCCGACACCAGCCCGAAGGTGTGCTTCTCCGAAGTAAGTGTGCTAATGAATAAGGAGACATTATCTCTGTGGTAGTCCACATGCTAGCTGAATGATCAGACGATTATTCAATTGGGGGTAACAGCAGTCCGGGGGCTTTTTTATATGGAAAGAACTGCAATTTTATGTAGGATTCTAACCAATAACTCCTTTACAGATATTCATCAACAATGAGTGGCACAAGAGCAAATCGGGCAAAACATTTAAAACCGTTAATCCGACCACAGAGGAGACCATCGCTGAAGTGCAGGAAGGTGATAAGGAGGATATCGAAGTGGCCGTGAAGGCTGCCCGCTCTGCATTCAAGTGAGTATCGGAGTGGTGGTACATCGAATGGATAGTTTGTTATTTATGAGTATTTCTGGTGCATCGCAGGCTGGGTGCGCCATGGCGTCGTATGGATGCTTCGGATCGCGGTCGCCTGATGTACCGCTTGGCGGATTTAATAGAGAGGGATCACGTCTACTTGGCTGTAAGTTCTTAGATTCAATGATACTTCAATGGTAGGAAGCAACTATCTTCTTTTGCAGAGTTTGGAGACCCTGGACAATGGCAAACCCTACTTCATGTCCTACAATGTGGATCTCCCAATGTCCATCAAGTGTCTACGCTACTTTGCCGGCTGGGCCGACAAGAACCATGGCAAGACCATCCCCATAGACGGTGATTTCTTCACGTACACCCGCCACGAACCCGTAGGCGTTTGCGGTCAGATCATTCCCTGGAACTTCCCCATTCTGATGATGGCCTGGAAACTGGGACCCGCACTGGCTACCGGCAACACCATCATCCTAAAGCCGGCCGAGCAGACCCCTCTGACGGCCCTGTACATTGCCCAGCTGGTGAAGGAGGCCGGCTTTCCGCCTGGTGTGGTCAATGTGGTGCCTGGTTTCGGAAAAGCCGGCGCTGTTCTGGCCAATCACATGGATGTCGACAAGGTAGCCTTCACCGGCTCCACGGAAGTGGGAAATATCATCCAACAGGCATCCGGCAACACGAACCTGAAGCGCGTGACCCTGGAGTTGGGCGGCAAGTCCCCCAACATTATCCTCTGCGACGCGGACCTGGACTACGCCGTGGAGACGGCCCATTTCGCTCTCTTCTTCAATATGGGCCAGTGCTGCTGTGCCGGCTCTCGCACCTTTGTGGAGGATTCGATCTACGACGAGTTCGTGGAGCGCAGTGCAGCGCGCGCCAAGAAGAGGACCGTGGGCAATCCCTTCGATCTGAAAAACGAGCAGGGTCCCCAAATCTCCAAGGTGCAGATGGAGAAGATCCTCTGCATGATCAAGCAGGGCAAGGAGGAGGGCGCAAAGCTGGTGGTCGGCGGTAGCCGTCCCAAGGGTGACGGATACTTTGTCGAGCCCACGGTATTCGCCGATGTTCAGGACGACATGACCATTGCTCGAGAGGAGATCTTCGGGCCGGTCCAGCAGCTGATTCGCTTCAAGAAGCTCGACGAGGTCATCGAGCGGGCCAACAATTCGCAGTACGGCCTGGCAGCCGCTGTCTTCACCAAGGATCTGGACAAGGCCAACTACGTTGTCGGTGGCCTGCGAGCCGGCACTGTCTGGGTGAACACCTACAATATCCTGCCCACCCAGGCTCCCTTCGGAGGGTACAAGATGTCCGGCCTGGGCCGTGAGAACGGGGAGTATGCGCTCTCCAACTACACAGAGGTCAAGAGCGTCATTGTAAAGGTGCCACAGAAGAATTCCTAAGAATGAAGTGTCCTGGACAGGGGTTACAAAATTTTTAAAGTAAAATCTTAAATCTTTATTCATTTTCCAGAATAAATATTTAAGTCTATCAATCTACCCCTTTTCAATTTATTTGCATTTATTGACCTTTTTTAGTCAAATTTATGTGTATGGGTGTTGGTAGTACTACCACCAAGAGAACTTTTTAATTAATTATGGACAGGCAAAATCTATTTGGGGTCCTTCAATTTCGAGGCTTGTATGAATTTTCCGGGAAGCCAAAAAGTAGGCAAAGGGCAATTCATAATTTGAGTGGATTGTATATTGCGTGGAATGTAGTGAGAGAAATTTACATCTAGAACTTTTCAAAGATTGCCAAGAATAATGATTGATTGATACAAAAAACGGCTGATAAGGTTGTTCAGACTATATTTGATTTGCCAAAGTTTGAGTTTGAAATTTCCTGAAATTACGAAATACTTTAGATCTGCTCTCTTATCTGTAAAAACTCGCAAATCATGTTAGAAATATGAAAAACAAAAATGTATAGATGTCTATAATTTATTCCTTTTTAGCTTGGCAGAGATAATCTATCATTTCGTAAACAATATTATAACAAGTACAGGGAAAACTGTCCGGAGTGGACACCCACTTGTTCTGTTATTTCTGTCCGCTGA